GCTGGTGGAGTCAAACGGAAAGCCCCAGTGGTGTGCCTATGCAGGCAGAATGATGTTATTTGGCCAGTGCCCAGTGTCTCTTTTTGTCTTACTGAAGCCTTCTTTTAGTCTGTGTAGTTTTCAGAGCGAGTACCATACTATTCTAGGTGCATGGCTCAAGTGAATGACCGCGTTTTGGTCAATGGTCATGCGGCTGTTGTGCGCTACGTAGGAAGTGTGGTGGATCATCCTGGAGTATGGGTAGGAGTGGAATGGGATGATCCCAATCGTGGAAAACATGATGGAATGGTCAATGGTGTACGATACTTCACAACTTCGTCAGTTCTCATCTCTTGATTATCTTATGAAGCTTTATCTTTATGCTTGTTATCATATTCTAAGTTACCCATTACAGGTGGTGATTTTTAATTTAATTTAATTTATTATTCATTTATTTTGATCAAATTTTCAGTTCTAAAGTTTGTCGGTAAATTTTTCACAGCCTTAGCTCTAGAAATAGTGGGGTTTAGAGTACCGCCAGGTCGAAAATGAATTTCGTCTTTGATAAGTCCTACCCATTTTTGCATCAATTCACTTGTGCTTGCGCTCATTTTCCGAGTTAAACTCAAATTCTCGAACGAAATTTAAACCATGCAAAAGCTCTTTGCTTTATTCAGAAGTTGTTCTGATATCAAGAAAAAAAATGTAAGCGGTAGCAATTCTGCAATATTATATGCTGGAGGTAGTTGGTTTCATGAAATCAGAAACTTTGAATGCTAAAATATGACAGCGAGCCTTTTTTTCATGTAGCCAAAATTTTTATCAGATTTAATTGATTTTGTGATAGAAATTTCAGGACACCAAAAGGAGGCTCACTGGTAAAAATTCAAAATGTTTGCACTGGAGTGGATATACTCACAGCGATTCAAAAACGGTATGCGGATGATGTTGACGAAAATGTATTCGTTGTTAGCAGCAAACCAGTAGAGTTGGTCGGGATGCAGTCAACATCCTTGAAGCAAAGGTTTGCATTGGCACTATTTTTCCTCTTCTTTTTGGCTGTTATACCAATTTTTAGTAATTTTTAGTAATGTCCATCGACTAAGTCACATAGTTTTGGAGAGTTGTGGTGTTGCAAAACCACCACCGCAGACTTGTGCGCCATTCAAAAGATGTGTTTCGTTGAATCTATTCAACAATCTCTTGCAACGATGGGATGACATTCATGAGATTTTGAAGTACTTTCCTGTGCTAAGAGAGCTGGTCTTGAGGTATCAATCAATATACCGTGTTGTGCGAGGTTGTATTTATCTATACTATCTCAGAAAAAATCGAATGGAGTTGGCTAAAGAAGGGCCAGCTTGGGCGGACGTGGATCATTTGCAGGATCTCGTCATCAGCGATTGTGGGCTCACAGCGGATTCAGTGAGTGTTTTTTTCCTTTAGCGTACAGCTATATGTGTCCCCATCAGGAGAAGTTGCGAGGTAGCATGATTGTACCTGCATTGTCCTTGAATTTAGCATCGACCTATAGTGCAAAAATATTCTTTCATTTTATTCGTTTTTCATTTCTTTCCTTGATTGCGTTCATTTTCAGGTGAGCAATATTCTTCTATACTTGCCTAGTCTGCGAAGCATCTTCGCCGTTAGTAATAAATTCGCGAATTTCCGAGTCCCCAATCTGGCGGGTAATCTTACGACTCTAGATCTTGGAAGTAACCCCATTAGATGCTTTTCAAATATCTCAGGGAATCTTAACAGGTAAATAAGCGAGCATAAGCTTTTGAATGATTTGAAAGATCTAGGCGATGTGATTCTTTCAGATTAGAGAAGTTGAGCGTTGCTGATTGTGGTATACAAACGATCTCCATCGGAGAGGGCCAATTTCCCAACCTGAGCACTCTGAATATCAAGGACAACCCAATATCAGACGTAAGTTTTACTTATATTTTTT